TAATTATGACTGATGTCTTTTAAGCAAAGACTGCAGATATGTCTGTTGTTGCTATGAAAATGCAAGTGAACTAGGTCATTGCTGCAATATGCTGCAATGTGTCTTCATTTTGTAAATGTTTTAGATTCCAGAGGATTTACTTTTGTTTCTGCTCAAATCTACCATAATAGTAAGACGAAATAGTTATGCTGGAATTAGTTTGGTCAGGGCATCATTTTGTTTGGCAAATTGGGCCACCTTTAGGGGAATTAACAGTTTGTGAGCTGCAGGCTTGTTTGGGGTTTTGATACACCGCTCATTGTGAGCACCACGATATTGGCACACATGGGCCAATACTGTAGCAATGACACAAAGTAACTGGAAAGCACATTCTCCTCAACCAGACAGGGTGAAATATCAGACTTTGGTCCTGGACTGAAAAAATGGGCTGCAGGACTCAAGAAGGCAAAAACCAGTATCGCAAGAAACTGTTTTCCATCAGTAACCCTTGGTACTTTGAGACAGCTTTTTCAAATATCTGAACTTCTCACTGTGATTGCCTGTACATTCATCTTCTTTTAATCTCACATTTTTTTCATTTAAGTCTTCTGCTAACACAAATTCCTGGGAATCCTCTGAGGTTAAATGATAACAGTCCTTTTCGATACCTAATGGGGGGCTCAAAAGATTTGAGGTAACCACTGATTTCAGTGGAATGTGTAAGATTAAATTAATAGCTCTTCTTGCTATTTAGCTATTGATTGACAGGCCCCTGTTCTTGCTTGCCTGACAGTATATTAGAGCCCAGTGCTCATTAATGGCTGACTTTTACTTCTGCTGCTTGCTGTAGTGTTTTGCTGGTTATCATCTGACTCTGCTGTGCCTGGGAACAGTTTGACAACAGCAATGGGAACATGTCTGGGCTGGCAGATGGCCCAGGCATCTCTGCTGTCTGTATGGCTGTGCTGGACAGGCTGGAACGCCAGTGGGAACTTGAATTGAAGGGACTGTGACCTGTGGGTGAATCCATTCAAGAGCAGGACACCCAGAAACACCCGTGGCCATGGCCAAGTCCCCAGCAGAACATATCTCAAAATGTCTATGGCAGTGATTATGGAAGAGATGGTGGCCCATGCTGAAGCAGGTACACTTTGAAGCATCTGTGGCTGTGGATGATGCACATCAGTTTAGGAATGCACAGTTTATATCATCTGATACCTGAAATTAAATTTAAAATAATTACAAAGATGGTACTTTTTCCTATGCTTTATCGATATAACCTAAAAATGAAATGCCAACAGGGAATAATGTAACTTTCACTGTTTGTACCTCTCTGATAGCACAAATTACCAGGTGATGTTTCTTCTTCAACTCTTTAAATTACTGCTTGAATAAAAAATGCATTTAGGCACTTAAGGCTTGGTTTATAAAACTTCTGGTTACTTTTTTGCTGGTTCTTTGCATTGATTGCTTGGTAAAATAAAACTTTGATCTCGTAAGTGATAAATGGGATTGAAGATGTGAAAAAAATGTGCTATTCTCAGAATGGATGAGTAGATTGCACTACAATATATTTTACTCAAATAGATATAGTGGCAACATTTAACATGCAAAATGCAGAAGCTACAGGTGCCTGGAGGAATGTCAGCCAAGTTAACAAAAATATTCTGGATATAGGATCCTTTTAAAACAATGTTTGGTCTGATCAGGCGCTTCCAGGGTATTCACACTGAAGTTCTTGCTAGGTGATTTTTTACATTGTAAATAAACTAGTCCTGAAGTACTATTTCTAGCATGTAATTGATTTGTGGGAAAGGGGTGAATATTATTTTTTACTGCTTCCTCTTCTGTAATAACAAGGAGGCCAAACAAACAGAACTGAGGGGCAATCACTTTAAGTACCATGTAAGCATGATGAAAGCACAGGTAACAACTGAAAGATTTACAACAGAAATTAGAGCTAAGAGATAGCAGGGTAATAAAGATTTCAGGATGACAGAGTGCAAAGGTTAGGATTAATGCATTAAGTGATAGGTATGCTGGATTCCTGAGCACCTTTTTGTTGAAACCCAGTGTTCAACCAGAATATGAAGACGGGCAGTGTAATGGGGGGTGGAATTTGTGTGGGATTTTCTAAAGGTTGTTTGAGAGAACATGGAGAAATGGTTGAGCTGACCTGGCAAGCAGCTCAGATCTGCACAGCTGGCAGACACTTCCAAATAGGTGGTCTCATTCCTGGTTTTACATACAGGGAATGTGTACAGAGCATCCCACATCCACATTTCTGCACTGTAGACATTTTGTGGGAGCAAATAGCTCAGTGGAAAGTACTGACCATAAATTACCCATTCTCTTTTGATGATGATTTGCAATGTGTATGAACTCTGAGCTGTTGGAACTATGGAAGTAGCCTGATAGTGATGTGATACAAACATTCTGCTTCATAGCCACAGCAAACATGAGTAAGAGAAGTGATCATACTTCTTATTATCATATAGTATTCTATTCACTGGGAAATTAAAATTGTATCTTTTTGAATCAGGACTGGATGATCCTGGAAAATTGTTTGGAAAATTATGTTGAGGGGACCTCTTAGTGGTTTAGTTTTATTTGCAAAATTAAGGCACACTTAAAAGAACATTGTTCCAATATTATAGTAGTGCCAGCATCTGGACTTCTGCTCAAACTATTACCAAACTTTTTGCTCCCAGGATGGAAAAGCTTTACTACTTTTATGCAAAGAATCAATCATCATTCCTATTTCTGGCAATGAATGTAGGAATGAAGGAAATAGCATAATCAGAGAGAAAAAGTTAAATTCAGCTCATTATGATTCTTTCCCACTTCTTCTACTGCTCTTTCCATCCATATTTGGAACCCCTAGAAAATATTACAAGAATTTTGAGGCAAAAATGTCTGTGCTAAGCCAAATTACCAACAACAGCACCATTATTATATACTTTTCTACTTCAACGCAATGTCAGTTCAGAGTGCATATTCCCCCAAATATTAGAAAATAGAGTAGCATCAGGAGCATTAGAGTAACACTAGGAAATCTCTTAGTGTATTTTGCAATATTTTTCCCTTTCATCCTTAACTGCTGTGAGTTGTTGTACCATCTTGAGAAAGAAAGACTCTGTTAGGCATAGCAAGGCTTATACCCGTTTTAATACCAGGTATAGCAGGTATTGATTTTGCCCTCTCAGAATATGTCTGTGTTGATGAAGTGGGCTCAGGGTACCTAAGTGACTGTGTAAGTGGCCATAATTACTTTTCTAAGTAGTGCAGGAGTAGAGCTTATCCTTTAAATGTGCACAGTTGAAGGACCCAGGAGAAATGTTAACACATTTGAGAATTCATTTGCTGCTTGTTGTACTATCTGGAACAGCAAGGATGCATTTAAAGATAATTTTATTTAAAATAACAGTAGTAGAAGCACGTAAAAAGTCAAATCCCCAACCCACCAAAATATGTTGTGGTGAGTCTTTTCTTCTTTGGTATGGAAAAGCAGGGACAAGTTGCCATTTGAGTAACATGAAGTGCCTAGAGGTGTATTAGAGAGAGCATGTAAAAACTGACACAGAATGCAGTGGGATAAAGGGAGGAAAGAAGTTTGCTAAATCTGCTGCGGTTCCCGACGATGGTACGTGCGGTAGTACCTGGCAGCCGTGTGCTTGCAGGCAAGGCACGCTTTACAACCGGGCGCAAAGCCAGTGCAGGCTGCTGAGCTGTGCCACTAGGCGGAGGCAAACACTGCACAGTTCGCACCTGCTAAGCAGGGTGAGGTGCCGATGGCAGCGCTTTTCCCCAGAGAGGTCCCGTATGCGAATGGAAAAGCATTAGGAGCTCAACAAGAAGTAAAATGCTGCTGGCAGCCTCATCAGAGGCTGTCTCTGAGGGCAAAATTCCTGGCTTCTATTTTATTTCACTTGCTGTTGTGATGCTAAGTTGGTGCTGCTGCCTCTCTTGAGATGGATCCTTCAGGACACAAAGGTGTCTCACTGCCACCTGTGCTGGCCCTACTGCAGGCCAGTCTCCTCATGTGGCCACAGGAAGCTGTCTCCCAGATGTGTCCCATTGTCAGGACACTATTCCTAGGAATACATTTCTGGGTTCTATTGAATTTGTCTCAGTTCATAAGGATGTTAATTGTATGCTAGAAAACAAACCTACTACTTTCAATCAAGTATTTGTTCTCCTGGCTTCATTTGGTAGAGTGCCTTCTCCAGCCCTGTACATGAATTGTTGTGTATGGCCTTAGGAGTGGTTTTTTTTCTGCACAGTCTTTGATAAAGCACGTTCCCTGCTGTGCTGTGTCACCTCTGGGGGTTGGCTGACAGTCATTCCTTGTGCTGGGTAGCACGGGTTTAGGAGGCGGTGAAGATGCTGGCCGTGACACTGAGCTGTTGTTTGTGCTCCGCATCTCTGTGCGCAGGGAGCCATCTGTTGGAAACTGTTAATAAATACACCTTCTACCTTGCAAATTTTGAAGATTTCGAATATTCTTGGGAGAATCTCTGCGGGGTTTTTGTTCTCTCTTCTTTCTGTCTTTTTTTTTTTCCTTTATTTTCTTTTTTTTTTTTTTTTTTAATACATTTAAAAATACACAAGGGCGTTTGAATATCACAGAGGACAATGGGAATCCCAGTCCACTACTTCTCAAACCTGCTTCTCTGGAAAGCCAAGGAGAACATGATGATGAAAAGCTTTTCTCTTTGGTAAAACATCCCAGCCCATACTGAAGGAAGCACTGTGGAGACCTCCTCTATGTGTGAGCCATATGGGAAGCACACTGATTCTGAGGAATCAATACTGTGAAGTGGCAGGACATGCATGGGAATTGAAAGCAAGCCACTGATGTAAGAACAAACCCTGTTCTGTTCTTACATCAGTGGGGCTCTTAAGGTGCCTATAAAGCTATTCCCAAAATACTTGTCTGACTGTCTATCATGCATGTAGGAGTAACTTAATCCCTCAGTGATGCCAGAAGAAAAAAGAAAACCTAAGAAAACAGAGCATACTTATTTTTATTATTATTTTTATTAGGTGAAATTGTGTAATGTGCAAATAAATCATTATAAAAATTCAGGGTGAGAAAATGTAGCCTGGGAATTTACCATTTTAATTAGCCAGAGGATTAAAATTGTTTTGGAACATCAAAACAATGGGATGTGAATTCTTTGATCTTCGTTAAGCACTTTCTTCAAGAGTTTGATGACTTCTTCCCTGTGAAAAAGAAGCACAAAGATAGAAACTCTACTGAAAACTGACAATGCAAACAACTGTGTTTTTTTCCTAATGTTCCTCTAGCATGCCCTGAGTTGGGCAGTGCCTAAAGAAAAGCAAACCTGACAAATTCTGTCCTGTGGGGTCAATTCTAGTTATGTGCCACTGTTGCTGAGGAGTTTCTGCCTTTACTGGACATGGTGAGTGGCACAATACCTGTCCTTTCCTGCCAGGAGCACAACTCACTGAAAGAGCTCATTTGCAGAGCAAATCAGGGACAGTGAAAGCTGTACCCCAGCAAGTTTTGTCTTGAAAATCAAATTTAATCATGAGTTTACCGTATAACTTCTGAATTCCTCTCCTGTCATCTTCCGGAAGTCTGAAGGTTTCTGGGTTCTCATAACGGTAGAGAGGGTACATCAGAGCTCCACGGACATTGGAATGAGCAAGTCCCAAAGAATGGCCAAATTCATGAGCAGCAACAAGGAACAAATTGATATCTGCAACATAGAAATCCATAAATGGATGTTAAAGGTATGGCATTTTTTTTTGAAATCCAATTAATTGAAAGTGCAGGAGAATTTGTATATTTCAATCCATCTTGCAATGAAACTCCAGGCTTTTGATCCCTTATTGTTGAGCTTTCATATATAACTGTAAGATTTTATTAAAAATCTACTGATTCCTTGCATATGCCTCTAGAGACCCTGAGTCTCTTTTGGACTCTGTGTTCGGTCAACCTCATTCCTAGAAGCAAGTAAATTCACCTTTTCGCAATTGATGTAGGAAACAAGGGCTCACAGTCCTTGTTTAGCCTGCAAAAAGAGCTTTAAATGATGGACAGAACAAGCATTATGTAGGTGCTCATGGTAATGAAGTGCTAGTACTTAAATGGTAGTTGAAAAGAATAGAAATGTTAGTACTAAAGTAATACTGAAGGATGAAGTGTAATTGAAAGCATTTCCCGTGGCTGTGTTCTTTCAACATGGACAATATTTGCCTTTCCCTTTCATCTGCACCTGTGAGCTTTACCTCGGTCGACATCTGACCATTTTTCATCATCATCAAAGTGAGCATCTCCTCCAATCCCATTTCCAGGTTCAAATGCATGGGCCAGCGTGCCACCTTGTCCATCAAAAGGAGCTCCATCACCATGCTCTGCATTTGAAATAAATCAATGTCATCAGATGAGATCAGTTGTCATATTTAACTTCAGTAAATAGAAAACCATGCTGTTGGTTTGTGCTAGTTTTGCTGGTTGCCAATCCTTAAAAAAATCTTACAATGGCAGCAAGGTTGTGAAAATGAGAAGTGAGGCTTAGGGAAATATTCTCCAAATTCATGACTTAATTCAAGTCTTGTATTTAATAGATCAGTCAGCTGCATGTTTCAGGAAGAGCTGAATATATTTCCCCAGTGCTTTTGTCAGAAGTGTAGTCCTGAGGCAGCAATCAGAGATTATTTCAGAATAAATGCTTAATGCTTGACCCTACTGTTGTTAATGTATTTGATGTTGAAAAGTGCTCGGCAATATTAGTTCTAGACATTATCACTTGCACTGATTTTAGTGTGGGTGGTGATTTGGGATAGATAACCTTGTTTCTGAAGAGATAAATTTTATTCCCAGCCTTGAGGTATGGTCTACTATCTACTTCTGCCATAGTGCAGGTGGAATATTACTGTTTCCTACTTTGAGAGCAAGAGCTGGATTAGAGATGAACCAACTTTGAAAATTTCCCTCTCCCTCACAGTGAATGTCTGACTTTACTGAGGAGTAGTTGGGAAATCAGATGCCATCCTGTGTCCTTTCCCCCAGACCATGTGGATGGCCCTTAGGGCACAGCTAACACAGGCAGGAGAGACCTAATCCTGGTGTGTGACATGGGATTAAAACACATTCCAATTTGCAGCATCATTTCTGCCTTTGACTGGGACATTAGGTCATGTCTTTATGGTACCATAATGTTCTTCCCATCAGTGACACACAGGCTTTGGATATTTTGGTGCTCATCTGCTCGCAAGCCCGGTGTCAATGGAGCTCTAGTAATTATTGCCAATGGATCTACAGAACAAGTCAGTAGGCATTTAGTTTGTCTGAGCTGTCAGTTTACATGCCAGGCACAAGTTCAAGGTAGGGCTATGTCCATACTCCAGACCACAGATGGACTTCTAAAGTGACTTCTGCCCCACCCACCACGCTTTGGCTGCTGCACCTTGGTGCAATCTTGGAGTGCAACATACAATTCCTTCTAGTAGCAAATCAACCAGAAGACACTTTCTATGGCCAACCATAATGCACCCCAGCTGCCAAAGGGTGCTTATTCTGGGAACCAGGCTAAGTCCAGGCCTAAGTAAATGTGTCTTAACCTGCTCAAATCCAGCCTGTGGAGGCTGGATCTTCAGAACCTGCTGATTTGCTCTACAGAGCTCTTCCCAGGAGTTTGCCCATTTATCAAGGCAAAAAGAGCCTTGAGCATCTAAATTCAAGTGTCTCATACTGGAGCTGAATTCTTCCTTCATTCACAGCTGTGACTCTGAAAGGATTTTTCTAACTCTTTTGTAAGAGTAAAACTGAATCATAACATAGAAATTTGGTGACATAATATAAAGAAGATAAAATTTATGCAGACTTTGATTTAATTCCAAACTCTTTGTTCTGTCTTAAAGCTATGTCAATAAAAATGAATGCTTTGAGTAAAATATGGACCATTGTATTTTAAAAAGGACAGGTATCTCACCACGACGTGCAAATCTAATCTCAATGTCTGCATGGCCCATGTAGATTCTTCGGAACTGCAGCGGAGTCACATCACTCCATACCTTCAAGGCCCTTTTAATTGCATCATCCACTTTCCTTCTGGGTAGATCAGGTGTATAATTGACAATCCTGTTAGCAAAGACAAACAGGTTAATTTCATTTAATCAGTGAAGGAAACACACCTAGTTAGATACAAGGCAATTCTCTTCCCCAGAAAACTTGAAACATCACTTACTTGTAAGTTAAATGTGTCTTTTTCCATTTTGGAGTTCCAGGAAATGTTTGATATTCTGCTACATCAGGCATACCACATCTGGGCATTTTCATTATTCCTTCTGTTTCTGTGTCTAATTTTCCAGTTACAGTCAGGTGGAAAAACCTCTGCATTTCTTTAATCCTTTCTTCTATGCTTAGGTTTTGTGTTTTTGCCAAAATTGGAAAGAATTTATCAAGATATCCCTGGAAGAAGAGAAGGAAAATAAAGATTAATATGTATATCTGTGATGTTTTGGTAATTGCATTTTACATTTGTTTGAATTGTTTCATCATCCTGCATCATCCGTGTCTAGTTTTCATTGTATCTTTCCATTTCAAGTTACCAAATTCTGCTCTCTCAGTAGTAGAGATCAGCATATATAAAAAGAATTGTAACAGCAATGAAACATTGTAAGTAAGAAATCCTTCCAAGGTACCACAGTTCACTGAGCATTCAAGTCTAGAGTCTTCTAACACAGTACACATAACATTTTTGACTTATTTTTAAAATTACATGCTCCCGTTATTTACCAGTTGGAATGTGGTCTCTTTTTAAAGTTAGTCTTAGGAGGTTTAAGCTAGTCATCAAGTTTAAACTGTTTTATATCATGTCTGCAAAAACTGTTGTTGTAATGTAAGACAAGGTTAATATGAACAGGTATGAAAGAAGTGTAGAAATTGAACCAAAATCAGATTATTCATAATGTAGTTGTGTTTCTTCCCATGTAACATACCTTTACTTTCTCAAGGTCTATGCTATTCCATGATGCTGGTTTCAGTTGCACTGGGAAAGCAGGAGTCTCAGGTAGGAAGATGACAGCACAAAGCAGGAGGTAGTGCATGGTGCCCATCTTGATGAGGAGCCTTGCTGGAGCAGAAAGAGTTTGACTTTCTGTCTCCCAAGACCAGAGCTAAAACCCTTATATAGATCCTCATAGCTCCAAGCAGTAATTATGCATATGATTCACTTTTTGGTTTTGTTAGTGTAATGTCATCAATACTCTAAGATGTAAATGAAATCACGTTAAACAAATCTTTCCTGTAACTTCCCTGTTGATGTCACGTCACAGCTAGCAGCCAGCTTTGTGTCTCTCTTTTCATATTATCCCAGTAGTGAAACCACAGCGTCATAGGGAAGTTCTTTTTCTGTAACTTTATCAGTACAGTTACTGTGTAATCACTTCACACTGCGCTTTTCCCATGTTACTTATACACAAAGGTATTTTGCAAGAGACCTTTGGCTGCCTGCCTGTATCAGTCAGTGTAGAGGCAGAGAGGAGATGGGTGCGAGTAGTGTCTCACTGAAAGCACTGCCCTGCTCAGTAAACTTTCAGAGGTTCCTGCAGTTCAGGAGACAGCTCTTTAAAAGTACCCTCTCGGACTAAGTGGACATCAGGTGCCTTTGTCCCTTTCCTTACAAATGGGATGACCTTTCAGAAGAATCTCTTTACATTTGAGAATTAGATATAGAATATAAATTACAAGAGTAGGTGAAAGCTCTCAGGGGAAAGAAAGGAGCTTTTCCTAACAAATATGGAACTATCTTAGACCTCCTGCTGTATCAGTGCAACCTGAGAAAGCTGCATGAAGCACTGACAGAGCAGGGCAGCTGTATCCCTGTAACCTCCCTGGCCCCCTGATGGAAATTTTTGAATGGAAATTTTAAAAATTCAGTGAAAAAATTTTCATTACTTTGGGCTCAAAATCAGCATGAATAAAACAAATTCTGGTAAGATCAATATCAAAAAGGAACAGATTCTGTTTCCTTACATTTAGTTGTGTGAATTTTGCAGACTTTATTGCTTTGTCTTGGTCTTGAATAATAAAAAATATTACGGCTCAGGAAAAATGATTTCCTGCACAAAAATCATAGTCATGTGACTCGTATTCATCAGAGAACCTGTGTCTGTGTTGGGGAGTATGACCTGTGTAAACAAAGGTCAAGGAGATCCAAAGCAATACTATAGAGACATTTAATAATAGAAGTTGCTGTAAATTCCATTAAGAAGACTTACAACATTGCCATGGAAAAGCTCATACTGTCACATTTTTGAGGAGAGTAACCCTGCTGTGATCAAGCATGCTGCATAAACTATGTCCTGTGTGGAACTCATTGATTGACACCAGACATTTTGAGTTCTAGAGAAAAATATTTAAGTAAAAAGTAATACCAGAGTCTCCTTTGAGCATGACTAGGATGAAAAAGTGAAGTAGAAATGAATGATTCAGTAGTGAATGATCACTGTCTTGGTCATTTGACTTGGGCAGAAGGCTCAGCTGAATTCTGCCCAATCTGAATGCAGGCAAAAGAGTTCATACAAGTTGAGAACTTCTCAAATATCTTTGTGAATGTTATGAATCTATCTGGGATATATTAAATTTATTCATAGCAGTATGCATGGTGCTCTACCCCGATGCTCTGGGTATTGGTGAAGAGTGTTCCCACAATGTGAAGACCTTTTCTGCTCACACTTGGCTCTCACACTGTATGGAAGAGGCTGGGTGGAAAAGTGGCTGGGAAGAGACACATCCAGGACAATTGACCTGAGTTCTCCAAAGGAATATTCCATATGATATAATGTATGTTCATCAATAAAACTGGACTAGCAGAAGAAGGATGTGGAGTGAGGGTTGTCTTCCAAGGTAGTTATTGCCTGGAAGCTGGTTGGACATCAATCTGTTTGCAGCAGGTGCTGAGCCTGTGCAAAACTTCCCTCCACTCCACCCCATCCTTTCAGTTATTAAACTTTCTACATTTCCTAATCTCTCCCACTGTGCATGGGGAACAAGCAAGTGACTGTACGGGTGATTAGATGTTGGCTGTTTTCTACCCACTATGGTGAATATCAAGGAAAAAAGTATTGCCAAAAATGCCTGAGAAATGTTTTGTTTGGGTCACTTGTGAATTATGCAATATTGTATTTAAAGTCCTACCAAAAACAGGATAGACCTGTTTTCTTAGGATCTGCAGGACACATGATTGGTTTTGTTCTGTTATCTGGTTATTCAACTTGACTAACTAAAAATAAAATTCAGACATGGCAAATATCTTTGCAGAGTAAAATGTTTTGTTTTTTGCATCACAATTTCTGAAGCTAAGTCCTGCGAACTGCAGTCTGATTCAGAAATCTCCTGGCTTCTGCAGTCCATTTCCATAGATTTTACCCAAGGGGGCTCTCTGCAAAGGAGTACCTTAGCACCTATGATATAGGGCTATGTATCATTTTTGCAGTCTGTGTGATGGTAAAACCCTCCAGTCATACCTGCCCGGGCACCAGGGTCGTGCCAGGGCCCCTCGGCATTGCGTCAGCTCGTCTCAGGAGCAAGACAAGCCAATTCTTCTCTCCTGTTTGGCTGGATCAAGCTTCATTGAGATATTTCTCAGCAAGATCCTACTGCTCTAGGGAAGGAAAGGCCCGAGGAAGGGATTAGATGTTCAGATTCAGCACAAACAATGTGATGACAACTAGCACATCTATGTAACTAGTAGTTAAGTAATCAAGCTTAACACATCTCTGCTTGTGCATTTACCATCTTCTCACAGTGTCTAGAATTGATTTGCTTTGTTTCTCTAATTACTTTGTATTTACAACAGTTTAATTGGGACATCTGGTGGGAAAAGATGCAAGAATAGAGATAAGTTTTTACAATAATAATCTTGAGCAACAAACCACAAGGGAAATGGCTTTCCTGTAAGTGTTACCTACCTGTGTGACCTTCTGGCACCCTCAATTCTTTGATTTGTCTTGTCCTTTGGTCAATGATAAAGAGGCTCTTTCTTCCAGCTAACAGACATGTGTATCTCTCAAAAATGTCTACGTAATAATTGAATTTACTCCATTTAAATAGAATTCATAACCTTTAGCTGTATGCAGTCATTCTGTCTTCCAAAAGCAACACACAGGACATGGGGAAGGGAAGAGGGTCAGAGGTCAGTCAGCTGCATTTCACTGCAGCGTGATTTGAAACCTTCCTGGGTAGGAAAAGTTACATAACGTCCCATAGTAATCTTTTTGTAGTTGGCTATCTCCATCCATTTGTATGTCTGTCTCAATACTTTAAATGACTGAAACAAGATGTAAACTAGAACACTGCATACATCTTGTCTTGACAAAACCACATTACTTCATGTAGGAACCTCCTAACAGCATTTGCACTAAGGCAACCTCAGACTGCCTGTAATTCTGCAGCAGAACCCTGTGAATGAGCTGCAGAGTCCCTCCTAAAAAAGACTGAGCTTGTAGTGGTGCTGCAAGGACAGACAGAGAAGCTGTGACAGCATGGGAGGCATGCTGGGCTTGTCCTGTCCACACTGACTGTAACCCAAACTGAGGAGCAGCCAATGTCTGCAGCTCCTCCTGACTCATCCTGATGATTTGCAAGGGTCTGTACAGGCTGGGACACCATGGTGAGTTTGGGCTTTAGTGACTGTGGAGAACAGGGTTTGAAAGACAGGATAGACACTGCAGAATGTGACATGTGCTGAACCTCATAGACTTGTATAAGTCTTTGGAAAAGGTGCTGGGAGTATAGATGACATCAACCAAAATTTTGCTTTTAGGCTGATTTGAAAAATCTTACTTCTATACAAAAATTCAATGACCCTGAAATACCAAGGAGTTGATAAAAGATTTCATTGCAAATTGACATGAAGTAAAACAGTTCTGGAGGAATTACAGGCTTACCTCCATGGTGTTATACTCTAGTATAGAAGACAGGAGATTGAATTTGAATGTAGTCAATATAAGATCAGCGCAGAAGCTTGATTTGTCTCATTAGAACTGAGATTCGGCCATGAGGATTGCAATAGGCCATAAACAGATGTATGTGAACACAGGTGAAAAAATCTGTACAACATTTCCCTGGAAATTGTCAGTTGTCATCATCTCATTGTTGCTATTCAAATGCTTCCTGATTCTCAGCATTGATTCATGTCTGGAAGCTGTTTGCTGCTCACAACTCCATATGTGGGACAGGTCCTTTTCTATTGCCCTGTCTAGTTTCCAGTAACTGAGTAAAAAGACAACAACATCACTTCGCTGGTAAATCTGGTTATATCACTGAAGTTCTCTTTCACCAAAAAATTTCCTTCCTTGCACAAACTTGAAGCCTCTGTGTCCCACAAATCATGTTATGCTGATTTTTCCAACATGATGGATTTTGACTTTGGCACCATTAAAAAGCAATCCAACCATTAAAAAGTGCACAACCAAATAAGGGCTGTTAGGACTGGGATGGTGAGGAGTGAGTCACAAAGAAGCCTTGCTGACTTTAGAAGCCTTTTTCGTGCAGCTGCTCACTACCCTGAGTGGTTGCTTAACCAAACCCCATTTGAGTAAACCAGTCTCTGTCTGTTCTAAGGAGTTAAGTGGCTGTAGAGGGTGAAACAGCAAGTGCTGAGGCCTAGGTGGCTGTGTGGGAGGGAAATATCCCAGACAGCTCAGGTCTGGTCCAGCAGGCTGAGCATCCTCAGTGGAATGCTCAGCACCATCCTAAAGGGACGCAGTTGCCTCATGCCCAGCTGATCAAGGTGTGAACCCAAGAGCAACAAGTATAGATTGGTTACAAGGCTGGAAACACACACCTGGTCCAGCATGGAACACTCCTGGAGGCACACCCAGTACCTTGGCCCTTTAAAATACAATTGACATCATTACATTTTCTCCAGAGGCAATTTTCACTGCCAGGTGACTATGGCTGATCACAGGTCAGGAACAATAGGCTTTTGTATATGTGAATCCTTAATTATCAATTACAGTAATGTGTAACAGCAGGAGATTGCACATTTAAAGAAGACTTACTCCAGTCCTCATTCTATGTCCCACAAGTTTACCGTAAATCAATTTTGCATTTTCACACAATGCAAGTTTAAATGTTTATGAAAGGAAGAAACT